CTCTTCCACTGACCCGCTTCTGGTCTCTCCACCACTGTCTCCAGTCACAGGCCTGGATGTGGTGTCAGCTACACCGCGGTAAAGCTGTCCCCAAGCGTGGCCACGCTGCCCCCGGGACACGGCCTCCTCACCGGGGCAGGCTGTCCTCAGCTGTGTCACCACCTGCCGCCCCGTCTGGGCTGCTGTCCACAGCCGCCGCCCCATCTGGGCTGCCATTCCCGGCTGTGTCACCGCCCTCTGCCCGGTCTGGGCTGCCATTCCCGGCTGCGTCACCACCCTCTGCCCCGTCTGGGCTGCCATTCCCGGCTGCGTCACCGCCCGCTGCCCCATCTGGGCTGCCGTTCCCGGCTGTGTCACCGCCCTCTGCCCCGTCTGGGCTGTCGTTCCCAGCTGCGTCACTGCCCGCTGCCCCATCTGGGCTGCCATTCCCGGCTGCGTCATTGCCCTCTGCCCCGTCTGGGCTGCCATTCCCAGCTGCGTCACCGCCCGCTGCCCCGTCTGGGCTGCCATTCCCGGCTGCGTCCCCGCCCACTGCCCTGTCTCGGCTGCCGGCCTCTTCAGCCTGCATCTCAGTCTCCGCTGGCCCAGAGCCGGCGGCGCTCTCCTTGGTCAGGCTGACACCTTTCTTCTTCTCTCCCAGCACCTCCACTCCCATCATCCTGAGATAATGGAGCCGCTCATTCTTGGGCACAAAAGTTCGGAAGGAGGCCTTTCCGCGCCATCCACACATGACAATGGGGCACTGGAGGGTTCCTGGTTTCCTACAAACAGAACGGGTTCATGTGAGGACTTGATCACCACCGACCCCACTCCCCAGCACCTGGAACAAGGCCCAGAGCGTGACAGGCCACCAAGAGACACTGGCTCAACCAACATCAAAATTGACAAGAACCACCATCGCTTTAAACTCTCCAACCTGTACGCTTACTGTGCAAGCCAAAATTTGGAATGTGATTTCTAAAGCATGCAAAGTGAGTACTATACACTTCTCTCTCTCAATACAGATGCAATGAGCCTGAGCTGAACGTTCATGATGACATACAAGAGTACCGTTTCAATTCTAAAATGTCCACGATACTATTCTTAGAAAAATGTTCACGAAAAGGTTCTAACACCATTCTACACTATC